TCCATTTCAGAGGTGATAGAACTCTGGTTGATCTTTGTAGATCTTTCCATTTCAGAGGTGATAGAACTGATTTATTTTATACAGAGTGTTTTGAAACATGTCTTAAATATGGCGAATTTTAAGTTCAATTTACTCAATTTTGCCAAATGCAACACACTGTGTATTATTTTCGCATAAAATTCCTTATAAATTTACCTATTCAACGATACCAACATGTCCCAAGAGTGTTGTTTTATTATTGGAGAAATAGGAAAAACAAATTAATATAAAAGTTGTATGACCATGTTTATTAAATGTTCTTAAATATACAGGGTGGTCCATAAACGAGGGGCTGAACAAACTTATACATTTTTATATTTAATTGTTTTCACATCGTCAAACAACTTTAATAGACTTAATTTATTTGCTATGTTGTATATAGGGTGTTTCAAAATGAGGGGTAACGATTTTCTCATTTTTTTAAATCGAATACCCTATATGTCATACCAGCAATTCATTCATACAGGGTATTCCATTTAAAAATTGAGAAAATCGTAGCCACACGTTTTGACACATAGCAAAAGAATGACGTCAATTAAAATTGTTTGACGATGTAAAAACAATAAAATATGTAATACTACCTGCAGGGTGTTTTGCTTTAAAAAAGTATAGATTTGGTCAGAACCTCGTTTATTTAAGAATATTTGTTAAATATGATCATACAACTTTTATAATAAACATTTCTTCGTATTTCTAATAATAAAACAGCAATCGATCAATTATGCGCTGATGAGACACCCTGTGTATGTGTTATTGACTAACACATTGGTATTGTTACATAGGCAAATTTATAGGGAATTTTATGCCAAGATAACATATTTTAAAAAAAAATTAATTTGTTTGTAATCGTCCCCATGTTTTATTAATTTATGACTGCACCCGAAGATGGAAAAGTTTTCCGAAACATATGTAGTGCTGTGCTAAACAATTGAAAATAAAAAAAGACCGAATAAACCAAGGAAATTTTTATTTATATAATATACATTGTGTTGCGTTTGAAAAAATTGAGTAAATTGAACTTAAAATTCGCCATATTTAAGATCACTCTGTATAGAATAAACCAGTTGTATCACCTCAATTTGTTAGCTTAGTATTTTATAAGTCTGTATATTAAACAATTTTGAAATTAATGTAAACATACCTAAATTATGATAATTTAATTTGGGGTCTGCATCATTCTCTAATAAAAAAAAAATTGTTTGGCAACACTGTAATATTTTTTAAAAACATTCTAGGGTTAAATACAGTATTCCCAAGCCATTCTAAAAATAAAATAAAATATAGGGTGTTCTATTTAAAAAACTAAATCCAAAATATGTATTTTTCAAATCCATATAACTTTTATTAAAACTTTTTTGCTTGTCAATAACATAAATTTAAATATTGAACAATTATGCACTAATTGCACCCTGTATATAAATTTTAATTTTCAATTTGCAGGAATATTATTATTTTAGATAACAATGGGGTCTATTCTGTAACAATTCCTTTATATTTAACGGCCTTTAAAAATATTTTCTTCTTTACTTCTGTCATTATTTAAACGGATCTTTAAAATACATTAGAGGACTATCTTAAAGAATTCTGTTTAAATAATGACAGAAGTAAATTAACGAATACGAACATATGTTTAAAGGCCGACAATATTTTTAAAGGCCTTTAAATATAAAGGAATTGTTACAGAATAGACCCCAATATTTGAGAAACTCTTTGTTTTATTGTATTTATTTTGTCTCTATTTTTGTTTAATATAACGTTTAAAAAATATTGATGTTGACTATGGCTTGAAGCTAATTACCCCCATTACCCCCCCTTATCTACGCCCTTGATGGTAACAATGTAATTTAAAAGGGAATTGAAATTAAGCATTAAAAAAAAAGAAAAATAATATATTTGACATGTAATCATTACTAGATTTATTACTGACATAAGTTATAATAATACAAAATTAAAAATAACATCTGGTTATTTGTATGACCCATGGTTAATTTTAACCAAATTTTACAGAATAGACCCCTCAATAGGTTTGTCCTAAGTTTCCTCTGTATATTTTGTGTATTACGGGACCTGTTAAATGTACCTGAAGGACGGAATATTTTCAATAATTTCTTACCTGAGACCGGACGTGCTTTAACATCGGATAAGCCACCTTCTTTTACATTTAATTTATGCCCTTTAATAAATTTATTTAAAATCAAATTTTCGTAACATTGTTTCATTATACTAGTAAAATCAAAAAAATTTACTTCTCCATAAGCTGTCAGATGTATCATATTAAAAATAAAGTTTAATAGTACATTGCGTAACAAGCGTTGTAAAAAGTTTATTGTTACAATATGCATTACATACTATATTTTATCTACGACTACTTAAATGCATGTAAATACTAGTATATTCTGTGCGTTTTGTTTTTACAGTAATTTTCGCCTATCGTGGGTTTTTTAGCGTGCATTTTGTTTACTATTTAATGCGCCTGTAGGTCGTGTGGTTTTCGTTTTTCCATACTGGTCGTAGTTAATGTATTTTTATAATTTTGACATATAAAGCGGCATATATTGTGTAATCGCAGCAAGTGTCAAAATAATGTGCGTTATGTAACTAGTTATTATATAAAGTTGCAAAAAGAAAACAAAAATAAACAATGGTTTTAAAATTAATATATTATTGCCTTTGAAAGTTTATATTGGATGAAGGTAGGTTGGCTATATAAAAAAAGATACTTTGAGTGAACTTACAATTAGTAATAATTTTGGTTCGGTCGCTATCTTAAACTGTTTCTCCACGACCATTACTGAATATAATTCTTCAAAAAACAATTTTAATAACACAATATGGACATTGTTACTCTTGAGATTGGAAAAATATTCTGTATTGCATACATTTTCATTCTATAACAAGTGTTAGATTGACATTCTAACACTGGCTGGTAGGCAGTGGCTGCTTGTGACCAAAATTTTGGGGGTTCACAGTGACAGAATATAGGTATCAGTACAGATGTATGAAAAAACTTTCAGTGTTTTGGAAAGTTTATAATATACCTTTCTAAAACACTGACAGTTTTTTACCTACATCTGTACCGAGATCTATATTCTGCTACTGTGAACCCCCAAAATTTTGGTCACCAGCTGCCCCTGCTGGTAGGTAACCAAGGATACAGAGATGTATCGGCCTGTTAATGACGTCTCCGTCACATTTATATTAATTAGAACATCAAATGTGTATTTTGAGACCTAGTAAAAATGAGTGAACAATCAACTGAATCAGACATGCAAATTGATAATACTTCGCCTGAAATTACAAATCATACAAATAATATAAGTTTACGATGTACGGTTGCAGAGATACAGCTGCTCGCCATCTTTAATTGGACTCCCTGTATTCAATTTACACTTTGGGATCATACAAATTTGATACTTCAATACTCTTATCAAATTTTCATTCCAACCTTGTTACAGAATATAAAGTGTTTCATAAAGTTGGATTCATATGAGATTTTTTTAATATTACGATTGGAAAAAAACGTGGTAGGCCATTCACCTGTTTTATTAAAACTTAAATAGCCCATACTAAAGTTGGCTGGGTAGTGCATTAGTTATCTGTCAAGTGTTGTATTTTTTAAAAATCGATAAAAAAAAATTTGAATTGCGAATTTGAGAGAATATTAATGTCAGTAACCAGCTTTGATATGGGCATTTTATGTGTTTAAATAAGCAGACGTGATTGCCCTACGACGTCTTTTTCCAATCGTAATATTAAAAAAAATTCCCATATGGATACAACTTTATGAAACACACTGTACTATTGTAAAATCTTTGATTAATTCTCTCTGTACTATGAAGACGTGTCAAATGATTTATCTGTCAAGTATAGATATATTAATTAGAAAAACAACATGTATTCTGTTATTGTTATATTCAAAACAATTAAAACCAATAGGGCAAATAAAAATTAAACAAAATCAACCACATCTAGATTGAATCTTTAAAATCTTTACTCGTGTGATTGTTGCTTGCGCCTCGTGCGACTATATTTGTTCCATATTTGTTCTTATAAAGCTTTCTGCACACTAAGTATTATAAAATTATAAAGAAATACTCAAAATTTATGAGGGGTCGTTTTTTTCATCCCTTTGTAAAGAAGTCAGACAGACAAATAAATGTCTGTAGATATCTTATAGAGATATAAATTTGTAATTTTGTGATAATACAGGGCATTTCAAAAAGTTTTATACAAATGGGAAATATTTATCTTACATTTCACGAAAAATATTCCTGTTAAAAAGTTCTGCATCAATCGGGAATTCATAATCAAGCATTAGATTTTGAAAAATATAGGCAGTATACAGGAAAAATACTTTTAAATTTCAATATAGAGCAATATAATAATTAAAATGTGATAGAAATTAAAAAATATGTTAAAATTCAATAAATAACCCAATGCTTAATTCTATAATTCCATTTTTTTTTCTGGAACGTAAAATAAACTTTGTCCAATTTGTATAAAACTTTTTATGATAAAGTGAAAAATTAAACTTTTTTAGCGAAACCCTTCAATATCCATCAAGGTAGTGAAGAAGAACCCATCTTAATTTTGTCTACATAATCTCCAGTTCAGCTTTTTTATTCTCTTTTCCGGAATACTCTGTAGATACGTTACCTACATGTTAGTAAAAACATTGAACTGGTAAAGCACTTTGTACGCTCATAAATTTCTCAAGTTATTAAATAAACATAACGAAGCTTCAACAGGCACGTCTTGAACTTTGCAAACAGAATAAATATACACACATGGAATGAAAACCCTTGTCGATTCAAACATGATTTTCGCATATATAATCTTGTACGATTAGACACATCGCTTCTAGATTGAAGGATGTAGTTAAAGTTACAAAATAGGTAACTGGGTAACTAAAGTGAAAGTAAGTAACTAGGTACAGAAATGTAGGCAAATGAAACACTTACCCTAGGTATGATGTACTCAATATCGGATAACTGCTCGTGCGAGCCCCTGAGCTTCTTACTTCTCGGTTTCGAGACGAACTGCATTGAGCAGAAGGCCAACTGACAGTCCAGGAAAGAAACCACCAACACGACGGCCGCGGCGACTCTCGTCACAAAACAAGCTGCAATGCAATAACAAATTATTCCATCATAAACAATATTACAATAATTGATGCTGTTAAATAAAAGAGGAGATCTCGGCGGAGAACGAAATAAACAAAATGTCTTGTTGAATCACGTTTCACGTTTTACCTGAGCCTCGAAGTCCGTACAGGGTAGGATTGAGTTGAAATTGACTGTCAGATGACATTGGGGGTGTACGCGGCCATAGTCGTACATATATTTTTTTCCGGTAAAAGTCTAGTTCGACATTTTGTAAAAATTAAAAGTTTCTAGTTCTATAAATGAAGGATTCCATATAATTCAACACGAACACTAAAACACAAAGTCTGTAGACCAAAATGATTTTATTAAATTAAAAATACGTGTGCGACTAGTTTCGATCTACGAGTATTTAGGTCATCAGGCAGGCCTAAAAAAAGATTGCATTTTGTAACAAACATTATGGGACAAATAAAAAGAAAACATCCTGAAACCGTTGATTTTTAACGAGCGATATGACGTTATCGATGATTCGTCATTTAAAAGGTCTATCCAATCGTATTAATAAATTTAAGTAATTAGTAAATCAGGTTTTTACACCGTTAAACATTTTAAAATTAATATTCTTGTTTATTAAATATACATTCAAAACAAATTCTCAAATTGATGATCCCTAGCTATAACACAGTGAATTCTTCCCAAATTTTATCAATAACTGCCGGAGTTATTTGCGCCATCTTTATCCATATGCGTTCTGTGTTCTGTGGGTTCACCGATACTTTGTGGTTTATTTTGGTATACTTTACTTTTTAAATATCTCCATAAAAGGAAATCAAGATGAGTTAAATCTAGCGACCTAGGTGGCCATTCGATTGATCGATCTTCTTCACCCAATCCACCTGTGGGGCTTCGAACTCGAAATATAAACATCAGCCAAAGGCTGGTACGGCTGCGGACTGTATTTTCAACTTATTACCTCCCTGGTTATAAATTAAACGATGATGACGATTACATCCTTTTATTAACTGCTGAAGAGGGCAACACACACTGTGATTATTTACATATATAATAGTTGAACTTAAAAACACACACTTGCTTTAAGAAGCTTAGCAACACACACTTGCTTTAAGAAGCTTAGCAACACATGCTTGTTTAAATTAATCTACCTCTGGTCTATGCCAGTAGGTATGATACGGATTACATTAGACTCAAAAATTGAAATCAGTTTTGTAGTCGGAGAGAAACTCGGTGTTTTATCCACTGGCGCTTGGAGCCAGCAAGTAGATTACGAAAGAAGATTTTATCCATTGCTAATTGGGGCCAGCAAGTAGATTACAAAAATGTTAGATTACGAAAGAAACGATGTTTGCCTGGTGACGTTTAGAGATAGACTCGCTGAGACTTCCGTTAGTTGCCTCCACCCCCTTCTCTCGGCTTATTGCATAATGGACTCGTTTACTTAGCAACAAAGATAATGAATAGGATCCTATCTAAACATTGGCGAGCCTTGGGGTAGGAAACAGCCATAAGTAAAGTGGTACACTCTATCCTACTCTACGGAGCACCCGTCTGGGCGTAAGCCACTCACTTGGCAAATTTTCGGAAGCAATTAGAGAATACTCAAAGGAAAATAGCGCTGATGCGTACAGGACTACATCACTATGAGCTATATAAATAATAACAGGCACGGTACACATCCACTTACAGGTCCTAGAACGGACCAGACTACTCGGAAAGAGAAACGATAGGGATGTTAATCCAATCGAGCGAGAGGCTAATCTGCATAAATTGCAAACAAGGCGCAAGTCAAAGTATGTAGTAGGCGATATAGTAAGGTAGTACAGGTGCCAAGACAGACACGTGGACTATTACAATACACAAAAGTTAACGGGACACGGATGCTTCATGTCCTACCCAAAAATGGGAAAGACGGAGACAAATAGATACATTTATGTACTGCGAGGTTTTCGAAACGCCAGCACACACTATCTTCTACTGCCACCGATTGAAAGAACAGATAAGGAGTGAACTTGGGTCATAATATCATTTAGCCCTAAGACAAAATAATATAGCCATTTTAAAAACTAAAGAGGAAGATGAAAGAGCTTGGCAAGCAAGACTAACACGCTAACAGGAATTATCTAATAGCATGAAGACCAACCGAAGAATGTCTTAGAAGACGATGTCAGGATGTTGTGGAGAAGATAAGATATTTTATATAGTAGGATGGCATTGCATCCAAACTGCCGGAGTCTCACGCTCCCGTTAATGATCTGTTAGGATGTCCCCTCCAACAAAAAAGAAGGTATATATGGGTATGTCAAAACGAAGTGGTTTTGGATGAGTGCACAACCTAACTTAAAGTTAACAAAAGAAACTCGAGGAGACAGAAACCAAATATCACTCCGTTTGGACAAAAAAATTTGAATTGGATCGGGTTCTCCAAATTCATACACCTAAACGGATTAAAAACTGGTATCTACAATAAGGACGCTTTACACTGTCCACTCATAATGCTATAAATTATGAATTGATTTTCTATTCTAAACTTCTTATTTTCTGTCTTTCTTTCAACTATAAATTTTATTTTATATCTATTTTCAATATCTAGCTCAAAAAAACACTACACGTTGTTAGTTTTTTTTTTCATACCTGATGATGATCTAAGTAGATCAAAACTAATAGCGAAGCTATGCCTAATAGCGAAGCTATTAGGCATTCCAACGACCTGTCCAAATGGCTACCAGTGGGTAATGACAGTTTAGATATGGCAACCCTGTTGTCATGTTGTCATTAACAGGGTCAATGATACATATATAGTTATATAGATTGCTCAAAGCTGGTCGTTTACGAGCGGCCATATTGTCTGGTAAATATTTATTAATATGAATCGGTTTAGCAAAAATGTATTTTAAAACCAATTTTTAGCCTTTAGGTATTTAAAAAAAATAATTGCTTATATTTTTACTTTAAGGCATAAGCTTATGTTTATTATGAAAAATATGGATGATCAATCTATGTAATTATCTATTTCATTGATCTTGTCAAATCACCAGGCCTACAGGATTGCCATAATTTTGCCATATCATAACCCGTCAAAACCCACTGGTAGCCATTCAGTTTGGAATGCCTAATTGATTAGACATAGGTAGAACAAGGCGCGCTGCCCACTATCGGTAGAAATGAATCCATCTGTCCAATCACGACAGGCAGTCAGTGGATTCAGGAGAGTCCCATCTTATTTCTTTCACGTGCAAATATAATTAGGCGTGATTTACAAAGTGATTTACAAGGGATCCGTTATTATATTTCAGCCATAATTTTCTTTGATTCAATTTGTTATCTTCTAAATTTTAAATTGTCAGTTTCTTTTTGTACTGTCATTTTTTTGGTTTCTTTTGCAAACTCCTTCTATTTATCTTTATTGCACCATGTTTATTATGAAAAAGATTGGCTTTCCTTCACTTATTTATGAAACCGTTTTCAAACTCCCTTTTCTTGCGATAATCTGTTATTTAAAAAGTCAACTAGCGTGCCGATCATATTGAGCATCAGCGGTTTCATTCACACACACTGGCGGTCATATGAACCGGCAGCACACATTTGTTTTTAAATTCATAAATTTAAACGACGTCTTAAGGGCTATCCTCCGCCTGAATTTTTAAGCCAAAAAAGCGGTTAAGCTCGTGCGCAATTACAACTTTATTTTTCAAAATTACTTAAAACTGCTTGTATAGGTGATGAAAGAAAACGTATTTCTAGGGATGTATAAGAACAAAATGATTAATTTTTTTTTAAGATTGCTATTATTCAAGATAGAAAAAGGTGACAATATTACGTATTTTAAGGCGCTAATCATGTCGTTATAAGAAATAATTTGGAAAATATAATTCTATATATCCCTGCTGCAAATCTTTAACTTTGTCCTAAAATGTTCTTTCTTCAAAAAAGTCAAAAAATAAGTTATTAATCGCGCACGGCCTGACCCTCTGCAAGTAACATTTTTCTAACCGTAATGTGGCGCCCTTCGCACTGAAATTTATTAACAACAAAACTAATAGATAAACAATCTATTTACCCGCCTTCGTCAAATGCGAAACTTACAACGGCCCGCAACCCCCTGATAATTTTAAGTAAGGGATCGGTTGGAAGATGACTCTTAACGTTTTGCAAATAGAAATTTGGTAAAATAAATTGTAGGTATTTAGCAATGTTTTTATTAAAAAAATTACTAAAAATATGTGTTTATGTATTTTATTATAACATTGCTTAGGATGATTTATGCTTCTCCTAGACTAGAAGGATCGGCAATGACAACATATAATAGAAATTAGTCTTACTATACGCCGCGCGCCGCGCCGTTCTATATGACCCAGTTACTTGTCCAATGCTCTTACATTAATGTAATTCGCCTGTGCAATTAATTTTCGATTTTTGACTGGACAGTTTTTGGGCCTAAAATATTCTCGATTCCGACCTGTAATAAGAAGGCCCCCAGGGTCCGCAGCTCTTGCTTTTGCCTTTGTATGACCTTTATAAATATTTTAAATGTATTGAATAGCCGGTTTGGAAAAGGTTTGGTCCATCTTTGAACATAAGTAGTAATCAGTGGCGTAACAGCGAATAGGCCTTTGCGTAATAGTAAATTTAAAATACAGATAGAAAAATTCAACTCAAGAGGAGAAAATATCATAATTTTTAATGTTGAAAGTGTATTAATTTTTTTAAATAAGTGTTATTTGGTAACTTAACTACCAATAAAATACAATTTATTTTAAATAGTTATAGTTACTGATCACATTATTAGTTAATTATCACTTCTTTACTTCATAACCTTCATGGTAAGTATAGTGCTGAAAACATGAAACCTTTGGTCCTGCTTTACTTGTGTTGGAATGAATAGTAAATGGCGCTCGTATAAGTAGGAAAAGAAAGGACACCATATCATAATTGTCATTCACAGGAGGTGTCAGTGGTTGGTACCCACCCGAAAAAAGGCAACGTCGATAATACAAGAAAATTTCCTGCGCATCCAACACAAGCAAGGCGGGATTGAAGGTATCTTGCCAGCAAGCAGTAATTAAATGTTGTGCTAAAACTAAAACTAATAGATCAAGTAAAATAGTTGTGATAAATAATTGTCTTACCGTATTCTATGATCACGTGGTTGGAATACTTTTTTAGTATTTTTGACATGTCTGTTGAGTAGAACCAGTACTCTGTGATGACGATGTTCACGATGGTCATGGTGAGAATTGAGACGGCCAGATATAACAGAATTTCCTGCCTTCTTGGAGATAGGATCCCTATACAGGCCACGATCCCTCCGGTGATGCCAATGATAATATTCTGGAATACAAAAAATATATATTAAGCATAATATAAGTTCGGAATAGGAAAGTAATAGTTCAACTACCAAAATGTGACCTAGAGTTTTTGAGTTTTCAGTAATGGGGGGGGGGGGGGTTATCTCGACAAAAATTAATGTATTTTTAATAATATTTTTTCCTTTTTAACAATTGGAGAGAAAAAACTTTTAGAGAAAATGTTATTCTTCATAAGTTTTTGCTTGTGTCAAAAATAATAATAATTTAAACAGAAATTCAATATATCTTTGCTTTATAGCTGTTTTCCAGTACATTTTGTTATTTGTCCGATAAAGTTATGTGTCCAACAAATAATAAAGCGTTTATGAGAACTTATCTATAGATAACTATGGATTGATAGTAATCCATCATATAACTTAGGTTTGACATGTTCTCACTAGATGGACTTTGACAATTTAACGTTGTCTTGTCCTTTTTATATATCGGAAAATGGAAGGCTAATTTTCTAAAAGTTCTAGAAACTTTACAGATATCGATAAATATTTGGAGAAAATTTGAACTATTTAAATTTAGATATAAATCTTCAAGAAAATTGTCTTTTTTATGACTTTTTATTAAACAAAAAAAAAATGTAAAATGTTATAAAGTTCATATAATCATCTGTATTTATTTGTGTTACACTAAAGTTTCATTTACCTACAGACTTGCACTGGCTTCTGAACCCTTTATTTGTTATTCGAGATGGTTATTGACCACAGATGTCATTGATAAAAGTGTGAGAGAAAAATCCTCCTACGTTATGTTAATTAGTTCAACCATGTATTTTTAGTTAATCTAAAACGGTCCCTAAATTCGATGTTACTATATTCTTTAAAAGGACCATTTCTAACGCGAAAATGGCGAATAACGTCTATAATTTCTAGTATTTTTTGATAAGAGGAATCCGAAGAACTTAAATAATAAGTTAATTATTTTCCTGATATTTGACAAACAATAACATTTTATATTTATAAGAAATGTACAAATTATGATCTGCTAAGTGACATATTGACATTTTTTTTTATTTTTACACCTAAGAGATATTCAACTTCTGTTTGGATTATTAATAGTTTTGAAACAAGCAAATACTTTTAAGAGTAACATTATTTCTAAAAGGTGAAAATAAAAAAGTTTTTTCTCCTTTTTTTCAATCTATCCGGGGACACCCTGTACAAGTGTTCATTATAAAGGAGTATAATAATTTGTGAATATTTTAGCATTTTTCTGATACATATGCGTACCATGAAAAATGATGGTGGTACAAAAAATATGTAACACCAATTTTCAAAAAACCATTGCATAATTTTAAACTGTTGAATACTCATTACCATTTAAAAAAAAATATCAAAAAGTGCTCTGAAATCCGGTTAAAGAGTTATACATTAGGTTCTTTCGTTCGCTGTTACACATTAAAGAAAAAAGGAGAGAAAGGAATCGCTGGCCGATTTCCTGCCAAGGATATACTTTTTTTATGGCGTTGTAATAGAACTAGCGTTTTGCTCTCTTAAGATATCAGGCTGATTGGCTGATTATTTAAATCTAGGAGAATCAAAACGTTTTCCTAGTTCCACTCCATGCAAAATAAATCCTAAAAACTCGCTATAATCTGTACGGTGCTGGATGGTACAAATTCTGAGCACGTACTAAGCATTGCCTCCCTTTGATGTACCGCCAACAAACGGATCGGGCGGGGCGAGGCCGTACGGCGCACACGAGGCAACTTACCGCACCTAGGAAACCCGTCCACATCTGCATGCTCATGCGTCCTCGGCTTGCCTCATACGCGTACGTGCTCAGATCTGTACCCGCCTTTAGTCCTTTCGAACTCAAACTCAAAGTTTTGCCCCAGATACGTTAAGGCGGGTACAGATATAAGCAGTTACGCGTATGAGGCAAGCCGAGACCGAACCGAATGCCTCGTGTGGCGCATTTTGTATACACGAATGGTGGACGCATGATGCGATATTCGCCACTGATCCAGTGAATTCGCGAGCATGGAACCGTACACCTAGAACACTGGTAAAATTAAAACAAAAACGGAGGATGAGGATGACGTCGCGGAGTTGCGTGTCTGTTTTATTATTTTGTTCGATATATTGAAGAAAAAAGTAGAAAAAAGAATTGATGACCAATTTCGTGCCAAACATATTCATCGTTATTGTGTTGTAATAGAACTGATGTCTTACTCCCCATATGATATCTCGCTGATTATATAAATCCAAGAGAAGCAAAACGTTTTCCTCATTTCACTCCACAAAAAATAAACCTTGAAAACTTGCTATAATCTGTTCGATGTACGGTACGAATTCTCCGTCCAGACTGAACACGTACTGCGCATTGTCTCCCTTTGATGTACCACCAACAAACGGATCGAGACGAGGCTGTACGGCGCACACAACGAGGCAATTTGCCGCGCTTCGGAAGCCCGTCCACATCTGCATGCTCATACGTCCTCGGCTTGCCTCATACGCGTACGTGCTCAGATCTGTACCCGCCTTTACAATTTATTTTGTCTTACATTTATAATTAAAATGGTTTTATATAGTTTTATTAAAATTTAGTAAAATTACGGTTTCTTTGTAAATATAAACGAAAATATAATGAATTTGCATTATTTCTCAATTCCTCACAATTATCATTAATTTTTAATTATTACCTACAGAATATATTAACAATTAGTTTGACAAAATTGTCAATCATTTCGAATTTTAAAAAAATGACATATATTTGTTCTGTTGACTGATTTGGTCTACCTATTTATCCTGTAGTTTACGCAGAACGTATAGATAATAATAGGTGTATATGTACATTAGAGGTGGGAAGTTCGAATCTTTTTACTGAATTAATTCATTTGATTCATTCACCTAAAAAGATTCGTTCTTCAAGATTCGTTCTCAAGTGATTCACTTTAGCGAACCACGAACGATGTTATTCCGCCGATCCGGCGAAGAAAATCGAACCGAACTTTTACGAATTTGAGTACTACCTAACCTACCTACCTACTAGGTCGTCGAGTAAAATAATTATAACCAGATTTATTTTAAAGTAAAGCGAATTAATGTTTCATATTTCATAAAAAAAGGCAGCTGAATAATAAATACATCCTTGTCCGTTAAGATAAACAACAATTACACAATTTTTTTTTAAATGCCAAATATATAGCCAAAATTAACGCAAAATTATATATTCACGATTCGTCATTTTTTGTTTTAATTTTACTTTGATTTAAATTTATTTATCAGACAATACGCATAAATTGTTTACCTAAGCTTAATACACACCTCCTGTAAAGTGAGAAAAACATTAAAGACACATACCGCCACCGCCTGTCAGAGTTCTCGTATTATGCCGTAGAACGTAGAATAAAAGCGACAAATTTGCCGATGCCGATGTAAAATACCAAATCTTCGAATCCGAATCGAATGAACGAAGCAACCAAACTCGGAACTCGGCATGTTTGATCGATCGCAGAGCCATCGAGCAATTGACTCAAAAAAGATTCGAATCTTTTAAAAACAGGGAATCAATTCATTCGAGTCAGTGCACTAATTCGTTCTTTTTGAACGAATCGTTCGCGAACGACACACCTCTAATGTACATGTGAGAATGTGAGTTTATGTTATGTTGAGAATGGGGTGTTAATACACTGCGACCTAAAAGATCTATTGTGCCTCCTTCTGTCGTCAATGCACTAAGGAAATGTCTCAATACCTATAACGACCCTTCCAATCCTATTTTCTCAAGGAAGTGTAGGATTTGAAGTGGCTTCAAGTCTATTTGATATCCTCCTAGATATAGTGCCCTTGGATTCTGGAGTGCTACACATTCAGTTAGGATGTGAATGGAGGTTTCATCCTCCTCCTCCTCACAGAATATGCACTCACTATCCTCTACTACTCTCAATTTACTTAGGTGTGCTTTTAGTCGGCAATGACTGGTAAGGATCCCTGTTACAATACGTAGCCTGTTCTTGCTCAGGCAGATGCAGGCTTCCGATCTTTACTGGTTATATTCACCCAGAAGTATCTTGGCCTGTCTCAGCCCGAAGAGATTGTTTTAATTATCGGTTCTTCTACTGCCCAATTCTTTTTTTAATCTCTCCTAGTATTAAGTTTTTTTTACACCCTTTAGACCTCCCGTGCTACACCCTAATCCGTCTGTAGTCTGGCAGCACTGCAGCCTGCGGCTTATTGTACCACCATTTGAAGGTCCTACTACTTTCCCATTTACACCCTCATCATTCACATTCATTCCACGTCGTCGATGGTTAAACGCTAGTCGGATGAATCCCATGGTAACACGGCCCATGATGGAACCTCCCAGCGGTCACTCATCCACGACGTGACCGGAGAGTTCACTGTTTAACTGTTGCGATAATAATATGTTACTGCTGATACCGCAGAACGGCTCAGGTCCTACAAAGGATGTTTGAGCCCCTTTCTTTGCAAGACTATCTGCAATCTCGTTACCCTGTACCCCGTTATGTCCCGGGGCCCAAGTGAGAGTAACTCTATTTTTCTCGCCTAGCTCATTCAATTGTTCTAGGCATCTCCAAACCATTTTTGAGCTGATTAAGTAAGAGCTCAGCGCTTTGATGGCTGCTTGACTATCGGACATTATGATAATATCTTGTCTATGATAGTTTCTCTCGATGTTAAACTGGATACACTTCTCGATGGCGTGAATTTTCGGAGTGCTTGGTTCTCGACCCATACACTCCTGTTCCAGTTCCTTCTATGGTTTTGGAACCGTCCGTATGCCACTGAATAGCACGTCTTTCGGTTGCAAGCGCGATGGATTCTTGGCTCTATTCTTTCTTGCAGCCCAGCTCTGTGGTTTTGAAGTTTTTCACAAAAATGTACTTCTTTAGCATTTTATCCTGGGACATGTCCCAGGTATCTTTAGTCCTGAAGCAAGTAAACTTTCGTCTGATTACTCCGTTCCTGATCATTCTATATCGTGTCCTTTTTGCCACATTCTTTA